GGAATAACATTGTATCACATAGCCAGAGCCTCTTAAATGGCAGGAATAACATTGTATCACATAGCCAGGGTCTCTGCACCTAGGCCGGGAGGGTGTGTGTTAGGAAGCGAGAGGAGGGAGGTGGGTGAGGCCACCATTAGTGTCTACCTGCTGTCCTTGTCTCCTCTACCAGGAAGTTCCATTTTCTTGTTCAGACGCAGACACCTTTCCCCGTTCATACTCCTATGTTCTTTTATTGATTTCAACACAAATATGCTCTCACAGATGACAGTGAGCACTTGCTTTTGTATTCATCTTCTCTTCCCTCCTAGATTAGAAGCTTCTCAAGAGCAGAGGCCACGTCTAGTTTTTTCTAGAGCGTCAGGAAGTGGTCCCTCAAACAAACTCAGCTGGAAGCTTGAATAGTCACAGCAACTGGAACTAAACACCGCACTTTTCCGCTGCCCGCTAAAAACTCTGTTCACAGATTTCTTCATGAATGTTTTAGAGATACAGACAGACCCGCATCTGACGCTTGAGTGTCTTATCATTCGAAAGGCACGTGCAGCTTAGTGGGGGCCGTGCTCCAGGGCATCAATTTATTAATTTAAATGTTCAGTTAGCATATATTAATTATGTAACAATGGGCTTCATGGAGGAGAGAGAGAGATGGCTCAGCAGTTGAGAGCACTGGCTGATCTTCCAGAGGATCTGGGTTCAATTCCCAGCACACACATGGTGGCTCACAATCATTTGTGACTCCAGGGGATCCAATGCCTTTTTTTTTTTTTTTTTTTTTTTGGCTTCCATGGGCACTGCACACACATAGTGCACAAACACACATGTAAGCAGAACATTTAAAAACCCAAACCAGTGGGCTTCTTCATGACATTTCATACACGTACATGATGGATTTCGATCACATTCATTGTCCTCTTTACCATCTCTCTCTCCCACTTGTGCTAACTCCCTTCCTCTTCCCAACTAGTGTCCTGCTAACTTATTTTTTTCATATCACTCTTCATTGACTGCATCCAGAATTTGGAGCATTGGCTGAGATGAACCTGAGGAAAATAATTTGTTTTTGTGAGGCTGAGAACGAACGAATGGACACAGTTGATCTTGCCAGCTCTTGAGTTCTGTGGCTGAGTTCCCCGAGAAAGCTGCACTTCAAGAGGCACAGAAGACTCAAGTCCGGCACAAGCATCCTTTCCTCCTCTGACCAGTGCTGGGGTGAGTCTGCTGTAGCCAAGGCCCAGCGCGTCAGCCCCGTTCACGGAAACCATCTCGGGATGTGTCCTTTGCATCTTGGAGCGATTGTTCCTTGCTCTTTAACCACGGTGGCCGTGCTTTGAGTAGCAGTAGGACCTGGCTTCTCTAGCTTCGCTTCAAAAGCTCTTTGTAGCTTGCCTGCCCTTTGGTCTCCCTGTCTTTGGTGACATCAGGCCAATCTGAGTTGACCTCAGTCCTGCCACAGCTCTACCTGGGCTCTACCTGCTTTGACCCTCTGGAGTAAAGAACCTCAGACAAAACAGAACTTCAGCCCCGTGGAAATGTTCACCAGCTTTAGAAATGTAAAGTGATTTCCATGTAGCGCCATCCTGCCACTAGTCAGCCCTGGCCATCGTTAAGAGTTTATTATTAAAAACTAACCATCTTCACACAGTGCCAAATATCTAAAGGAAAACTCAACTATGTGGATGTTCTTTCTCAATGTTGTGCAATCCAAACATTTGGCCCCCGAGAGAATCTGGCATCTGTGTGTATTTAGCACACAGACACCCGGACGTTTGGACAAGGAATGGAAAACTCAGCAAAGACAGGGAATCCTGGCATTTGTAGAAAGGAGAGTTGCAAGGCCGAGGAGTCCATAGGTGGGTTCGGGCTGGTGTCGACAGCCCCAGCTTCTCCGAGAGCAGTACAGACTCTGATGAGGGACCCATCCCAGCCTAACGAAGTGAGGACAGGCGGCAGGTCAATACTCCCCTCCCTGGATGACATCTCTGTCCTTTTGAGCTTCTGGGCTAAGAAGCATGTGTCAACTTGCACAGCTCCCCCCCCCCCCCCCCCCCCCAGCAACCTGCTTTCTCGGCCCTGGCTTACCTTAGAAAGCAAAAACAAATTTTTTGTTCCAACATACCACAGCTACTTAGATGTGGAAACTTAGCCTTCTTAAGATCAAAATCCCATGACTCACCCTGACTCCTACTTTATTAGAAAGCATGTGGCCCTGCAGTTGGCACTGTCGGGCTAGCTAAAATGTACCTATCTTAAGAAAGGTGACACCAGCCGGGAGCTAGCACAGTTGGCCCAAAGTTGGCACACAAGGAACTACACACAAGGCCGACTGTTTTGCAAGCTTTTGTCTTCATTACCTTCCTAGGGCAGTAGACAGAGAAGGGACCAAGCTCTCTGAGCTATGTACCTCTTCTCATCTAAACGACTCCAAAGAAATAACTGGCCTTTGTTAGGCTGAGATTGACTGGCCTGGAGTGGTCTTGCTATGTAAGGCTCTGTGACCCACAATCCTCCTGCCTCTGTCTCCTGAGGGTTATGATACATAGCAAGTTCAAGGCCAACTCCAGCTACCTAATGAGACCCTGTCTTAAAAAGCAAAGATCTGGGAGTACAGCCTGGTGGTTGAGTGCAAAAGTGCAAGGCCCTGGGTTCGAGCTCCAGCACAGTCGCAAAGAAAGAAAAAGAAAAATTCACGTGGCTTCTTGTTATGGTGGTAGCACCAGAATGCTGCTTCCCTTATCCTGTCCTTCCCTTTCATTCTAGGCTGGAAGAATTCCGTTTCTCAAAAGGCACATTCTTTATCCCAAACATCAACAAACGCTGTTGCCTTTGAACACTGGAATCAGAGCAAAGCAAACAAGCAATCCAGAGAAACCCAGTGAGCGTGGGAGGAGCTTGGCTCCCAGCCTCATGCTGGTGCAGTCGGCTAGTGGAGCCAGTGGGTCCCTGGACAGTCTCTGGCAGAACAGCGCCTCCTATTGTTAAAACCCTTAACTTTTCTTTCACAATCTCAAGTCTTCTGGCTTGCTGATCCTCCTCGGTTTAGATATTCCCTCCTTAAACACTTAGTGACCATGTGCAGTCCTTGCAATCCACAAGCTGTTTGGAGTTGCATTTCTGGGTTGATGGAGCCGTGTTTACCATACCACACAAGACAGAAGGAAAACATTTCCACCCAGTCACTTTTTTCTTTAGTTAAATTTTTTTTTTTTTGTGTGTGTGTATGGATGCTTTGCCTGAATGTATGGCTGTGCATGACATATACACCAGGTGCCTACAGAACCCCAAAGAGGGCATTAGATCCCCCTGGAACTGGAGTTATAGATGGTTATGAGCTGCCATGTGGGTGCTGAGGAATCCAGCCCCGTTCCTCTGGAAGAACAGCCAGTGCTCTTCAGTGCTGAGTTATCACTCCAGCCCAGGCCTCTTTCTTATGATGGAAAATACCAGCTACCCTTCCCACCCCAGATTTCTTCCTCATCTTTTCTATAAGCAGGGGATGTCTGTAGGTGAACAGGGCAAGGGGCTCATGCCCACTGCTGCCCCTGGGTGACTAAGATCAGCCTGATGGGCCCTATGAAGTGCCCTGCTGGAACGGTTGCTTTCTCCTGTCATCTGCTCGTATAGACATCAGTGTTAGTGTGGGCCTCCCGAAGGCATACCAAGTAGTTCAACTTGGCTTGGCTTTTCAACTCCCTCAGCGCAGGGGTCTAGTGCAGATGGGACCACTGTGGACACCAGCCCCTAAGTCCTCACTTTGTGCACTGTGTCCCCCCCCCAGGGCCACCCACCAGAGGTGACCACAGTTGCTCCTTCATTGCCGAAGACCCACTCACAGTCTTGCCAGTGGGTCAAGTGTGTTTCATAAAGCAGTTGCCGAAGAGACTCCATGCAGCTGACTCCAGCTTCTTCCTACTGAAGGGCTTAAACTCTCCCCCCTTTCACAACCGAATTTAGGCCCCAGTTCTCTGAGAAGGACAAACAGATGTCTTTCCCAACAAAGGGCCATTTATCCACAAGGTCCTTACATTCAGGGTCGAGGGAGAGAATGAACACAGAGGGTCTATGTCAGCCTCACACTATGTCAAGGACAAACCCTGCAGTCCCTCTGAGTCACGTCCAAGCTTGGGCAGAGGTGTCCAAAAACCATAGAACTAAACCTCAGCCAATTAGACATATACTAATGTAACTGCTGCTTGCTTAACCAGTTATGTAGCTGTCCCCAGACCCTCCTTAGCTGTGCTTAGAAGGAGCCTGCACAGCCTCTCAGGGTCCTCACCATTCTGTACAGGTAAGCGACCCCCCATGCATGAGGTATAATAAACGCTCTTTGTTCTTGCACACTATTTGAGTCTGGGGTCTTCCGTCAGTGTTTCCTCAGCCCCTACACGACCTTGCGAGGTCCCCCTCCTCCCCTGCTTCTACTTTGCCCTCACCCAGTCCAGCAGCCCTGGTTTTCCTCTGCCCCTGGCATCCTGGCCCTCAAGACTCGCCATCTAACTCTGGGCTTGCCAGATCACACTTCCAAACAAGGGGCTGAAGGGGAAAGGGAGTGTTTCCTTGGGACTTTGTTCTACATTGATGTAGGACGGAGAAGAGAAAACAGGCCTGGGATGCAGGTACCGGAGAAGAGGAGACAGAAATACACGCGTGGCTCTGCAAGGGTACACAGGGTCTACACTGCATCAATCCAGGAGTCTTATTCACACAGGGATATGACATGGAGAATGTCTCTATCGAGCTCCACTTTCTCCCACTCAAGGCAGGATGGAGAGATTGACATACTTTGAATTCTGAAGGTCACCCATGAGTCACCTCAGCTGTGTCCCTATGTCACTGAATAGCTGAGAACAGCTTCCTCACTGTCCCTGGAACACCCCCTCCCCATTCCTTATTTAACAACTGAGTTGATAACACTGTCTCTACAGAGTTGCTTCAAGGATGAAATGAAATCTTATGTTCACTTCCTGGCATGGATCGGGTGCTGAATAAATGTCATTGTCTCAGAAGCCTCGTCCTGCTTCAAGGGCTGTTTGCCCGTCTCACTAATGGCCCTTCTAATGTAAAAAATTATCAGAACCTCCTAGGGACACTTGAAAGAGGATGGGGGAGAAAAGGGGATTGTTCTTGGAGCTTACTTAAGCAAGTCACATATCGCTGGGTGGTGGTGGTGCACGCCTTTATTCCCAGCACTTGGGAGGCAGAGGCAGGCGGATCTCTGTGAGTTCAAGACCAGCCTGGTCTCCAAAGCGAGTTCCAGGAAAGACGAAAAGCTACACAGAGAAACCCTGTCTGGAAAAACCAAAAAAAAAAAAAAAAAAGAAAGTCACACATCTATCAAGGTACATGGCTCTGAAGAATTTTAACAAGAACCACATTGGTGCCTTCCGCTCTCATGAAAACCATCTCTGGAGGGACAGACATCCAAGACCTGTGAACTTTCTGTCTCTAAATGAGTGAGAAAATACAGTTTCTCTACTTGCTATTCTTGAGTAATTCTGTATTTAGATCTTTTGGTTCTAGATTTGGCCTCTTCTAGATCTTTCTGTTTGTATTTTTTTTTTTTTTTGAGACAGGGTTTCTCTATGTACCCTTGACTGTCCTGGAACTCACTCTGTACACGAGGCTGGCCTCAGACTCACAGAGATCTGTCTGCCTCTGCCTCCTGAGTGCTGGGATTAAAGGTGTGTGCCACCACCACTTGGTGGATTTTTTTTTTGAGACATAGTTTTGCTGTGTAGCTCAGGCTGACCTTGAACTCTCAACCTTCCTGCCTCTGCCCTCTCAAGTGCTGGCGTTACAGATGTGAAGCATGACGCCCAGTTCTTCTCCCTTTTGCTGACTTCTGAGCAGTGAGCAGACCTTATCGACAAATGAACACAAGATGTGGTATCTGGTGGCATGATGGAGTCAGCTCATTCCAGATGCTGGATCATGGCGTGTGTCTCTTCCGCAACTGTGACATCGCACTGGGAGTGTTTGTGTAAGGAAAGGCAGCGGATACTGAAAAGCAGGACTAGCTCACACCTGAGAGCAGTGTTGGGACGGCCTGCACACTGTGTGAAGGGCTTGACTGAATGCTTCACACTTAATTAATCTGTGAGATTATGTGTGCATGTATTCCTATGTGTACAGGTGGACCTATGTTATGTAGTGTGTGTGTGTGTGTGTGTGTGTGTGTGTGTGTGTGTGTGTGTGTATGAGTTCATGTCAGAAGATAGCGTCAGATGTTGTTTCTTAGGAACCGCTCACCTTTTCTTGGGATAGAATTTCCCAATGGCCTGGAACTCACCAAGTAGGCTGGCTGCTAGGCTGGCTGGCCAGTGTACATTGAGATTTAACTGTTTCTGCCTCTTCAGGATTGGGATTACAAGTGTGCACCACCATGTATGGTATTCTCTCTCTCTCTCTTTCTGGGGATCTAAATCAGGCCTCATGCTTCAAGGCAAGTACTTCATAGATGGTGCTACTTTCCCAGCTCTTACACACATGCTTTCAAAGAAGGCTTTAAAAGAAGTTTGTACTTTGGTATGCATTCTGGGGTTTGGGTGCATCTTTATTGTCATGTTCTATACCTGGCAACATTGTAAAGCACTCAGCAACTTCTCAGGCTTCTTGTAATACAATGTTTCTGTATATTCTGGAAGTTAAGGGGAGGGCACAGACTAGGAAATCTGGGGAACTACAAGAGGATGGAGTAGCATACGACTAACTCCTTTGATTCGCCACGAGATGGCGCTCTCTTCTTAGGAGAAAAGGACCTTAAAACAAACAAAAAAACCCCGAAACTACTGCTGAGCCAGCTGCCTGAGGGCTGGGCTCCTGTTTGCATGCTCTAATCCATTGCATTTGTGCAGTTGGCTTGAGTTGAACAACATTAAGGTCAAAATCAGTGGTCCGACGCCTCATAAATGTGTCTCTGCGGCCATTTGTGTCAGCATTAATTATTGCCAGTGCTAGGGAGGGGAAGGAGCAGAGTATACCCAGCCCAAGGGCGAGTCCAAGCTGGTGGTGAATCTTGTGTTTGGAGACTAAGGGGACGACACTAAAATTGACCCTGCAGCTCTAGGATGTGACCAAACGGCTCTTCACGGTCTGGACGGAAGCCACAGGAGGTGTCTGAGACCCCTTCGCAGATTCTGAGGTCTTGGCCTTCCCTTTTTCCTCCTGGTTGCTCTTCACATCGTTGATCCACACTGACAATGAAACCCTGCGGATTCTAGGGGCAGCAGAGAACCTTGCCACCCTGGTAGCTCCACACAGATTTGAGCACCCATCCACCCCCTTTAGGGGTGGGCATTTTTGACATTTTCCTGGCCACGGTTGATAGGAAGCATGGGGGGATTCTTACCCCTTTTGGCGCTAGGCGGTGTCTGGATGCCCCAACTAAACATAAGCTTTTTCTTTTGGCTCATTTTGGTTACAGATGCTAACGTTCCCCCTAATACCCCTTCTGGAACAGCATCCTGGATTCTTGCTGGCTTGGCTGACGGTTTCTCCAGCCAACACTTCCATGGCTGCTTGCTGAGCCAACCGCCACTGGTCACGGTGCTTCAGAATCCCCCTGTGCCCACCACACTCAGCCTTGTTTGGCAGCCTTTCCAGGTGACATTCCTTTGCTTAGCAGCTTCCATTTTCCTCAGATGTCAATGGCCTGGGTTCCTGGACATTTCCTCTGTTGTGCCCAATGTGTCAGATCAAGTCCCCTCACCAGGAAACCAAGAGCCCTCCCTGAGCCCTGCAAATATGCT